TGTGATATAGTTATAATAGTTATGTAGATTGGTTATAAAGGAACGTTGTTATTTTAGGCGACAGATTGTTGAGCTTCCGGTTTCACTCTCTTCGAGCCAGCCCCTTCGTGCTGATAAATATGACTTCACCTTTGATCCACGTCTTCATGAGGTTTCTTTGCACTTCTTTTTCAACTTTCTTTTTTTTGCCTTTTTATTTCTATACTTCCTCTTTCACGTTTTTTTCCTTTTTTTCACAAAGTTATTTTTTTATTCTTATTGTTAAAACCTCATGTTTCTTCTACCACTTTTTCGCGTCATAAAAAGGTCGTGCAAGGCGTGGAGCGTTTTTTGGTGCTTTTTAAAAGCAATCATTTCCCGCATTAAGATCGGCTCCAATTCGTTCCTGACATGCATACCGGACCACGACTCACCCATGATTGCGCACTTTTCTTTAGGATATAGATTTTTAGAACTCCCGTTATGTGAGCATTCCAGTGCCCAATGGACCATTTTGACACCGCATTTCTTTTTACTGGTTTACCTATAAAGCGAAATACCAATATCACAAAAAAAAATCGGAAATCGAACTAGAACTGGATTTTTCCTTCCTTCCTTCCATTTTTAGAGCAGAGCGAACATGAATTTGTATTTATGGTCCATTCATGTTCCTTGACTAGTGCAAGAGATTGTTTTCAAAAGCACTCCACTCTTGAACGACATCCCCTGTTAGAGCAACTAATATTTTTTATTCTGTTCAGGAGCAAGCGTCTAACGAGAAAGCACTCACTTCTTTGTCAACAGGCACAAGTTCGGAAGTTGACGATTTCCGCTTGAAGGAAAAACTGTATAAAGTAAAGGTTCTGTTTAATCGTCTTTTTTTTCTTACTGGGTTTTATAGAGTCGTGCTGGTTTCGATTCCAGAAAACTTTTTCTTCTTGAGACCTCGTTAGTCGCTTTGAGCGAAACAAAAGCGAAAGCGAAAAAAAGGTAACGGAAGATGAAGTGCAGCGCTTCCCGGAATATTTTAGGTTGATTCAGAAATAAGATTTTTCGACAAAGCGATCGCTGCCATAATTCATATTAGTCGTCGAGCTTTTTTTTCTCGTTGTTCGGTATGGTTTCCATAGAAATGAAGTCCCTGTACCACCTTCATGATGTTATGATATACATAGAATTAGCAGTTAACAGTGTTTTTGACGATATTCATGATGCGCTGTACATTGCTCCACGCCAGCGCTGGGCGAGCAAGCTCATATGAGGTAGCTGAAGCAGTTCACAAATGCACCAAAACACAAATTATGACCAATGTCCAAGTTGCTGCTGACATTAGAAAAGAGATTCGCTCTGGGAAGCCCAATCTTGTAAACCAGAATCCGCAAATGAGGAGGGAATCTGCCAGCGGAAAGGCTAACGCGGAGAAGAGCGACGGGTATTCGAAAACCATCAGAACTCTCTTGTTATTCTCACAACTGCTGCGTTCTAAACGTTCTAAATGCCAGTTAGTTCTTTCCGGCAGTCTTTTCTTCCTCTGTTATACGCTCTACCGGTCCATCGGGAATGAGCGAGTCGCCATGCCTAAGTTCCATTTCCTGTTCCTATTCCTTCGGCTAGGCGAATTCCGTAATTACATAGATTTAAAATTAATAATGTAAATGTCCTAATTGACTGCTGGAGTGCCGTGCGCAAGTTACCCATCATAAGTAACTTTTATCATAAAGAAAAGTCGATGGCGTCTTCTCGAGGTCGTTTCAGAATTCGCACCCCTAGAAGGTCCGCTTGCCTTTCAGTTATTTCCCCTATTCAACCTCCTACCATGTCGTGGAATGCTCCTTCAAGTTGTGAAAACAAACCATCTAGCCTCTATTACATTTCTCAACGCTATGTTTTTCTAATGTGTATTTTGATTACAGGGATTGTGGTGTGGAGAAGAGAAGGAGACGGAGTCCACTTTGCCGTCGAATGTTGCAAAGGTGAAGCCGCAGCCGCAATCTGCAGCAGACCATACACAAAGCGGTTGTAAACCCGCAGTTAGCGTTCCAAATTCTTCTCATGTATTTCCGCCAAGAAGCCCTGGCATAGGTAATTTTAATTTTATTCGACTCATCTAATGGATTAATTCGTTTGTTAGTTTCAGCACCATTCGCGTCTGGCTTGAGTGGACTGATGTTTTCTCCATATCCAGTGATGTTCGGAGATATATCTTTCGGGAGAGGATACGCATCTATAGGATCAGTGGTGCAACCATTGATTCCTCCTTCAAATGCATCGAGTCCGCCACTCTGTCCAACCTTATACCAGCAACCACCCTCACTCTCGAATAATCCTCCAATGAATCAGCATCGACTTCCTATGCGATCTAATTACTTCGACCAAAGCGCACTTTTTGCTGGCAATAGTTAGTTTTCCGTGGAAGCTCACATTGGTGTACCCGACAGGCGGTGAAAAGTCAGAGACGCAGACGGGTCAGCGGACGAGTTCCCTGCGTGCCGTGTAGTGCGCAACGTACTATAGTACATTCTATTCAACTTGACGCGAAATCACTACAGTACGCGCTGCGACTCGTCCGCTGACTCGTCTGCGTCTCTGTGTTCTCGTAGGCGCGACGGGCTTCCTGTCAGGTACCCCTCGTATTGCATACTTTTTTTTTCTTTTCACGTGGTCTCATCTTGTGTTTTAGTGACACAGTCCCAAAATATGGGGTGGACTACGGGAAACATGTTGGATATGGTTAGCAACAATTCGACCACGCCTTCCCAACAGCATCCGCCTGCTCAGGTGTCGTCTCCAATGCAGTCATCACATTTATCTATGCACCGTGGTGCTGTGCCTCCCCTGCTCCAGGTTGTTCGATTTTCTTCTTCTCCAACAACCTGTAAATCGTTGTTTTTTCAAATATTTTTAGAACCATTCCCAGACGACGTCTCGTGGTTATGATGTGAATATGTCGAATATGCCCTCAAATGGTACACACGCACGTCCACCAGGCGCTGGCTCCAGTGCCGCGGTTCCTCCTCTTCCTTTACCTCCACACGATCTGGTTAACATGCCGCCTCCAATCGGAACACAGCGTGTAGCACCGTTCGCGATTCAATATGCAGGCTTTGCTCCATCTCCTCTCACACATCCTCTACATCCTTCTCACAGTTTCACTCAGCCACCGCCCAACGGGAGGTAAAGACATACTTGCTTCGATACTTTACTTTGCATAAATTCGTACTTCAGATTTGCCCAGCCGCCTCCTACGTTACATCAGGATGCTCATTGGGAAAAGGAAGCTCCGTTCTCAGGAATGCGTCAACACGTCACTATGTTTCCAGGTTTGATTTGAAGGCGGGGTTTAGATGAAAAGACAACCCACTAGAAATAAGATAAAGTATTCAGCGATGCTGGGATGAAGAAGAAAGCAAGAAACAGTCTAGAATTTGAAAAATGGCGCTCGTTTTGCCAGTGGATGCGCTTTAGGGTGTCTCATCGGTGCTGACTCGATCAACGCTAACGCTATATCTGTTAGGCGGCTAGAGCCAGATAGCGATGGGATGGGCGGGCATCGCCGATAGCGCCGCGGGGACGGCCATGCTAGAAGATCTCCGGGATAAATCCTTCGCCAAAAAATGCGTGTCGGTCCGCAAAGGGTGCAGTCTCCACACTGAGCGGACTGACATTCGCTGTGCACATACTTAATGAATACTGTGAACACTTTGCTGGAGGACTTCTTCATCGTTGCTTTGTGAGACGTAAATCGTCCATGCGTCCTTCGAATGAACTAATGTTCTTTTGCTTTACTGCCCCTTTGAATTAGTGCATGAATAACTTTTTCGTTCTCGAACCGAATTTGATGTGGCAGTTTTGCCACTTTTCTTAAAATATTCTCCAACATTCTATGGTTGATATTGCCATATGTCTGGCGACTTTATGCGTCTGTCATACTAGATAGAATCTTCTCCTCCCACCGTAAATGCGTAAAAAAGTAGCCATCATCCAAGTGACGATGCACACTTTTTTGCTTTAAGATTTGAACCGCGAGCAACGGTTTCATCGTTCCTTCCCTGGGGCGGCGACGTTCAGTTATATTTGTAGCATTCACGTAAATTTGCGGTTTTCTTTGTGTAGACTCAAAGAAAGCTGCAAATTTCAGGTAATTACGGCAAAGCAAATTACGATTTTTATTAGGATGTGTGATTTATTGTGTAACTCTTTCCGCTGAATGAGCAAATCTTGCTCATGAAGTGGAAACGGAGCGACAGGCCGGATGTCAGACTTTGCGAATCGAGCGACTTGCTATAGCGATTCGCTAGCGTCCGCGGTCGCGTTGCGGTACCAGCCAATTGAGTGATTCACTGGCCGCGACGCGACCGCAGACGCTAGCGAATCGCGCGATTCGCAAAGTCTGACATCGGCCACACACTTTGAACTTATACCAATCCTTCCCTTACCCATATCGTTATTGTAGGTCACAACAACATGCAGATGAACGCAGTGCAGCCTAACCAGCAAAATAAGTGGACAGTGAATACCAACCACCCCCACATGCTACCGCCTTCGCAAATGAGGTCGCTAAAAATGGTAAGTGTACTGTAGTGCACATCTTTTTATTATGTTAGTATTGTGCTGTCTCGAAGCTGTCTGTTATCTGAATGCCAAAAGCAGTGTGAGGCTCTAAAAGTTGACTTCAAGACAAAACATCTGTCTTTCAAAGATGTGTTTCATTTTGCGCATGACCTTATTTCGGTGCTTAACACCTTTTTCGTACTTGAAAGAATTCGAATTGGTTGGTTTTTTGATATTTGGGAATAGAATCCCATCCATTTTCCTTACGCTGTAGCGGGCTCTGTCGCTTTATACTGCATCTGGGTAAATGCAGGCTGTTAACGGCTAGCAAGATATGGCTGCAACACATCGTAGGGAAATAGGCTGCTAAGGTGCATAACAGATTTCTGCGAGTATTGCTAATATTTGTACTCCAGCGGTTCGGACCCATGTTTTCGGTTTCGTTAACTCCTGAGATGTCGCAATGAGATAACAACTAAAATTTAGAAAGCTATGTCAACCTCAGCTACATCGACATCAAAGTCGATTCCAGTGGTGGCGATGGACTCACCTTTTCCAGGTGTGTAGAGGGAAATTTAATGGGGCTGGGCGATTTATAAAAGGGAGAAGCTCACTCACGCTCGACGCATTTTTTGAGATTATCAGCAGGCTTTCGTCCCAGTACAGAAAGCGAGACTGAAAACGTTGAAGATTACCAACACGGCAGTTGACGCGTATCGAATTTTCCAGGAGGAGCCCCCCATTTTCAAGTGAACCTTACAATACCATGAGAATACGTTTAGTGTCATCAATACTATGATAACACTCCTATATATTTTCTGAATATATGATAACTTTCTTTCATTAACATTTTGTATAAATTATACAAATATATTGTGAAATTGAAATGCTTGCTTTTTCGCGCAACGCGATGGACAAGCGATGGCTTATCCGTCGCCGAGTGTGACGGCGGTCTTAATCTCAGTTCAATAATTTTTTGAAAGTCGCCCAATCAATCATTGTACTTCTGATCGATTACGGTTGAGCAAGTTTTAATTCCAGGTCCCAGAAACGAGACCGAAGTGCCAGAAATGACTTCACGTCAGATTTGGATGAAGTTGTAATACACTCGTTTTGTGTGGATTGGAGCCAGTGAGTATTTATAGTCAACCTTGTCAAATATTGGGTTGATGCGTACAATCTTAGCGTTCGGCTTATGCGTTCGAAATCAATCAATCAATTCGTGTTTGTTCATCAGAACTGTACAAACTTTTTGAAAAATACTCGTTCGTCGCTTATTTGGTATTGTAGATGCATTTGAATATAAGAGTTTAGATAGAGGCACAGATAGGCGGCGCAGCATTTTTACAACTGCTTCTCTTTGGTTTTCATGCAAGCCAAAAAAGCGGCTTGAAACTTTTGTAATGGATAGGCTGGGAATGTCACAGGCGATTTAGTTTTTACAAGGTGGTTTTCAAGTTTTGAAACTTCGATTTGGGCTTTACTCAGCGCTAAAAAGTCACGAATTGCATTTGGTTGGACTGGAGGATTGTCATGTTCTGGGAAGTGAATTAGACAAAACTAGAATGTTCGGGGTGTCCCCAAGAGGCCCGTCGCGCGGCGAAGGAAGAGACGCAGATGCGGCAAAGGACGAGTCGCAGCGCGTGCTGTCGATATGAGACGTAGTATGGTACACTCTATTTAACCTGACGCCTAACCGCTACAGTATGCGCTGCGACTCGTCCTTTGCCGCGTCTGCGTCTCTTCCTTCGCCGCGCGATGGGCCTCTTGGGGGACACCCGGTTTCGCGGTAAATCCGGTACGGCTGATTTGGAGGGAAAAGTGAGCGGATTTGAGTGTGTCGACTGGTTTCAAAATACCAGTGGTAACAGTGATGGTCTGCGGGGGTGGGGTCGTATTGGAGTTATCCCTAAGGCTATTGATATTTGGGAGAATAGTGAAATTTTTTGAACGAGCGCGAACGTGACGGCTGACCGTGCCTCCATCTCAACCTATTGTTTGAATATGCCGAATTTCGACGAGGACAAATGTACTAACAAATGAACAGATACCGTATTAATACATATTAAGAATAACTGATGTTTTCAGCTGTCGTCATATGTTGTGATTGTAGTTTGTGCAACTGGAGTCGTGAAGGAGCATAAGTGTTCTGACGCGACATTCTTCTGTCTGTAGAGCTGTACACATCGGGAGCATAAGCGTCGATATTTCGTGCGCATTATTAAGTTGTCCGAATACATTGCTATAGTACTAATGTTCTTTTTTTAATATTTCTTGATAATGTTTTTAGCTTTTTTCACGTGTTCATTTTTTTACTCGCTGTCTGTTTGTGCAAACGTTCACGTTGTAGTGAATGAGTGTTGTTATAAATTGATAGTTTTGCTCCAGCTGTTTTTTGTAAGTTCCCATCGTTTGTTTGTACAATGGAATGATCATGGAATAACTATTTGGACTTTGCTCCATACGGCACCACTGGAATCGATGTCATGTAATGATGTAGTGTTTCAACTAAGTGACCTACTGATAATTAGCTGTCGTCTTTGCCTTGGTGGAATCTTAATTCTTTGCACTTCATGGTCTTTTAAATTAACGAATAAAGCTGAAATCAGTTTGGAATTTATGTTTGCTAAAGTTGAAGTGCTAACGTTCATACTTTGGCTCCTAGTAAAGCGCCCATACCCCCGTATGGTCCGCGAAGTGGTGCTATTTCTTGTTATCTTCAGTGTTTATCCCACTTGGTAACGAGGTTTGCTATTCAATTATGGTGACTCTACTTTCCCTATTGAATGCCCGATCAAAGTGTTGTGAACTCCAATTTCACGTCAGGGTGTTAAGCCACTGCTTTGAGCCATATGAGGCTATTTTCTGGTCATCAGAACTGATTCCCGTGACGTCTAATGTGGCCCATACGTGCGATGCTAGCCGTCCAGCGCAGCATTTTTGCCTCCATGGCACCAGGCGCACTACAATTTATTTAGCTGCAGGCCAACATTCGTGAACGAATTGGCTCCAACTCGAGTAATTGAACTATGTAAGTAAAGCAACCAGTATAAAAATTATGCCTTCGTGGAAACATTCAATATAGGCATTCCTATAACAAATGCAAACAATTCGTCAATGAATGTATTGATGAACTTGTATGTGAGCGTCAGATGGGTCACTGGTTACAGTACGCCATTGATAACGGCTGTGAAACGTGGGAATATATAGCATTGAACACCACAACAACAATTCCGCAAATTCTCGGCAGCTGCATGAGAAACTGTCGAACACCTCGATAAGAAACTCGAAAAAGGTAAGAAGAGGTTGAAGGAAGAGTTTACGGTAAGGTCGGAGGTCGATAAAT